GTCAGCGGGCGGCCCCCCACCATCGCCGGGAGCCGTCTGAGCCGACGCTCCTGGCTGCGCCGGGGGGGAGCTGGGGAGCAAAGCAGGGTGCTGAGGCGTGCACAGGGTTTGCGGGGGCTGAGCCAGCGCGCCCCCAGTCCCAGCTCACGGCCGGGAGAGGCGGACGGGGTAAGTGACCATGTTGAAGCTGTCCCAGGCGAAGAGCTGCCGCTCGGCGGGGTTGTAGTCCACCATGCTGAGGTAGCGGAAGCGGTTCTCGAAGGGGATGCTGAGGGCCCGCCTGGTGCCGGAGGCTGTGTCGTAGGCGAAGTTGATGGTGGCGTTGGGTGCCGAGTAGCTGCTGACGGTGTAGAGGGTGCCGCAGATGACGAAGGAGTTGGCCACCCCTCGCTTGCGGATGTTGGTCTCCCAGGTCCGCTGGATCTCCAGCGTCTCAGGGTCCAGCTTGGAGAGGACAATGGCACCCCTGGCCTTCTCGGTGCTGTAGATCACCCAGAGCCCCGTCTCGTCCACCGCCAGGTCGATGTCGGTGTAGCCCCCCCAGGAGTACGGGTACTGCCCGTGGTAGCCAGCGCCAGGGATCTCCTTCTCAGCCGTGATGGCCTCTCCCCGCAGGTCGTAGCGGGCCACGGCGGGGGAGCGGCGGGGCTGGAAGAAGAGCCCGCCGCGGTAGACGACGGCCCCCGTGCTCTCCAGGGGCCGCGGCAGGATATGCACCTTGGCGGGGTAGCCCTGGGCCAGCTGCTCGGCTGCCTCGTACTGGTAGAGTTGACGGACCTCCGTGCCCACCGCATCCACGCGCCAGGTGGTCTCCCGCGTGAAGGGCGACACGGGCTCAGGGTCCTTCATCCACACGCCGTACTTGCCGGTGATGGACTCTGCCCGGCCAAAGACGACGGGCTCCCCCACCCACACCAGCTCGCCACAGCCTGCTCGGGGACAGGAGGGGAGAGAGAAAGGGGTTATTGCTCAGAGGCGGCCCCCAGTGAGCCCTTTGGGAGGGCCAAGCGGTATCTGTGAGCAGCAGAGCATGGGGCTGGCCAGCCATGCCGGTGGCAGTACCAGAGTCCTCGCTTCCCGGACGGCCGAGCGCGGTCTCCTCCAGCAGCCGGGATGCGGGAACCTCCGTCCTCTCCGACTGCAGCTCCTGGTAGGCGAGGGGCTGCGGGTCCCAGCGGGGGGCTGTGGCGGGGCCAGGCGCAGGGGGAGCAGGGGCCAAGCCAGCCCCCCCTCACCGCCACACCTGCCCTCGCTGCTCTCGGGGGGCTCCACACCAGACCGTTGCCCCCCAAAACGCCAATGCCTCGATCGGGAGTCCAGTGCCCCCTCCCACTGCAGCGGGGGACATCTGTGACCCGCTGATGGGGACCCTGCTCTGCAGCTGCCGATGCCCCCCAGGTGCAGGGTTTAGCGCTCCTCGGGGGAAACTCCTAACCCCCCGGCTTAGCGCGGTCCCCCTCTGCTGCGGGGCGGGCGATGGGATGAGGAGGGCTCCGGCTGCAGCCCTGCTTTAGGGACGGGGAGGGGGTTCGGGGCAACGGGCTGCGACTGCCTGGTAGGGCTGAGCCCACCAGGCTCCCCAGGAGCGGGGGCGGCGGCGGGGACGCCGAGGGGTCCCGGGCCCCGGCACTCACCTTTGCCGGGGGCACGCAGGGCGTCGCGGCCGGGCCCCTCTCCGCCGGAGGGGCAGCGGGTGGCCCGCAGCCGGCTGAGCTCCCGGGCGCTGCCCTCCAGCCGCCTTCCCCGCT